CTCATTTTCTTAAACTTCCCATGCTCCTGTTGAGGGCTAAGGAAATGCTTATCTCCCTGAGCGTGGCCTTCATAACACCATTCCATCACAATAACTGAACCAAAACAGGCCATTCATTTTTCCCAAGTCCTTCTCCTTTGCCAAGTTCACATGCTTTTTTGTGGCCAAGGAGCCTTTCCAAGGACAAAGGACACATATGCCTTTTCCTAGAATGACATTGAATTTGGAAGCTTGGAAAAAAGTGAGGAGTCAGAGTTTATGAACCTAATGCAACAGCACAATTTTTCTGCTTACTTGAGGACTCTAGTTGTTTCTGGTGCAGTCTATATTTTTAAATAAAGGGAAGCTGCAAATACACCCAACTTCCAGTGCTCAGGCAGCACAGGGAAATCCTTCCTAGCACAAGAGCTGCTCTGCAGCTTTGAGCTATCTAGTTCATTCTTAGCCTTGGGAAGACTAAAAGAATGAAAATGGATATATGGATTGTGCTCAGAGAAAACTCATGGAACTATGAAATAGTTTTACTTAACAAAGCGGAAAAAGCTTACTTTATTCCAACCCTGATCATTTTTTAAATTCAGTCAGTTAAGGTAAGGAAGATAAAAGTTACAGTAGAGAGAGGAATTGGTTGAGTTCACAGTGTACATGCAGGTTGCTGAACTAACCCATTTTCTAGGCTCACACAGTACAGTAAACCATCATCTAACTTAATGGGGTTCACACAACACACTAAGCCATCATCCCCCCCAAACTAACCAAGGTGAAAAGTAACCAAGCTTAGTATGCTGTGCAAAGGCAGCCACTCATTCTTTAACTGATCTGGTTAAACTTGTGTGAACCTAACCAATCACAAGGATTAAATAAATGGAGAATACAGATGTTTAATGCTACCCATCGGGGAACCACTAAATCACAGCAAAGAGATATGGAAAGCTCTAACTCTGGTGCCATTCAGTGGTTAACTGGAATTTTGCAGCCCAGATATTGTATGCCTACGTACTCAAGGCCAGTATAGACCTTTCCCAGTTGTTTTCTCCACCTTTCATGGTGTTGAGAACCATGAGAGCTAGAAATTTCAACTGGAAATAAATTAAATACACCTAGGGATAAAATTGCATATGGGACAATCTGATTCCATGTATCTGGACAGCAACAAGTCAAAAAATAGAACACCCTGAATCTCATTTCCCCCCCACCCTCCAAACAGTGCATTTCTTTTGACAACTGATGATGTTCTTACCTCTGAATTAATTTTGATGGTCTCTTCTGTGTGATAAAGTAAGTACTTTTGCCCCGAAGAGGAAACATTGACATAGACCTGTAAGCAGGGGTACTGAGAGTTTTTCCAGCATTCCGGACCACAGCTGAATGAGCAGTTAAAGGTTTCCGTGATGGAGGCGTTGAGGAGCGTGCACTGGGTCTCTTCTGTCCAAACGCTGGCAAAAGAAGAGGGAGGGACAAGAATGATGCAACTGGGTGATTTTTGACCCTGAATGTACAGTGATAGTTTTAAAGTCTTGCTTCTTTAGATGCCCAGGCATATTGCTTAGTATAATGTTAGGTTACTACAGTGTTTTGATGGATTAATTATTTAATTATGGATCATCGTGTGGTTGCAACATGAGTGAAGACTCTGGGAAAGTCAACTGATCATAACTTTAATTGGCAGAGATGAATAATTAAAGATGCCTGAGAATGGGGTG